CATCTCTAGTGTGGAGACTGTGGGAAGTGTGAGGGGTTTGGTGGGTTTTTTTTCTTCTCACTTGTGTGATTTTTCTGTGGGGCCTCTGGCCCAAAAAAGGTTCCCCATCCCTGGAGTAGGGGAACAATGAGTTCATATCTATTCTCTGTGGTGATTGAAATGAAAGTAAAGATGATGCACATTGTCCCCAGCTTTCCCTCTCCTCCATTCTCCATCCATGCTTCCCATTCAAAGATCCCTAGATCTACAGATGACCCACCATGATTTCCAGCAACAGATGGCATAATGTTGTGGAAATGGATATGCAAAGATCATGCATGGAGGGGACTATCCCTATATGGATTCAGAGGGGGGATAACTCTTCCATTCAGTCAGAGACCATGTAAAGCTGTCATAATGACTGAACCTTTTTCTTTCTCTCTCCACTAAAGGATGGTACCACTGCTTTACTTAAAGCTGCTAACAAAGGGTACAATGATGTTATAGAGGAATTGCTCAAATTCTCTCCCACCCTTGGCCTGTTGAAGGTATGTAATGATGTGTTTGATATTGTCATATAAACTTTGAGAAACAAAAGGCCTTTGAGTAGTCATTGACACCTGTAAAAAATGAGTGTCTTGATTAGGTGCTGATTAACACCCATTTTATAGGTATTTATGACTATACAAAGGGAAGGAAGTAAAGATCCAGGCCCAGAGAAATCAAAAAAGACATGAAATCTATATTCTTTTCAATTCAATATTGTTTTTTAAAATCTTACATATACTTTGGGCGGAAGATGCATACTGTGCTGTAAATAGAATTCAGTTTTGTTTGCTGTTATTTTTTTCTGAAATAAAATGGATTGATGTGCCAAATATTACCCTTTATTGCACTGATGTTACCGAGGGAAGAATTTGGCACAGCAAACTAGAATTCTAAGAGCACTATTCCAGGCAAAGCAATTCTGTATTTGATTTTGGTTCTCTTTGAATGAATGTAGAGTCTTTGAAAATTACATTGGATATTTGGGGGCAGATTTTTAAAAGGTGGCCACTTTTCATGTGCTCATAGATTACAGGTTCAAACATTAACTGGCATGTTTTGCTGCTGTTGGTGGGTGTAACTCTTTGAGATGTTAGAACCAGATTTGCAAGTAAAGCCAGGTACGCAGACATTCAGGTGACATTAACTATAAATGTCAGTTAATAATAAAGTTAACTATTACTCTATCACTTACTACAAGTGCAAAATTGCACCCTACTTACTGCTCTTTCAGTTTTGTGGCCACAAAAAGGAAGTAGGTCACCTATCCCCAACTCTCCAATTCATATATTTTTAAAGTAATTACATTTATCTAGAAAGAAAGAGAGAAATAAAACAAGTTTGCCTGAAAATTAAATATATCACTAATGATTTTATTTTTCTTCCTAAAGGCCGAGTTCCAGATTAGCCTTTTGTTGTTTATTTAACATACTTAATATACTTCTAGTCTATTGAAAATATAATTAGTAATATCAGCCTGACTCTCATTTACATTTATACTCTCTTTAAAGCCCCTTTACACTGGCAGGAAGGAGACTCATCTTAAGGCCCCATGTCTTTACTTTAAGCATGATCAGATCATTTTGATAGTCTAATCTCTGTAGTGTTGTTTCTCTTTTCTTTATTTACAGGTCTGTCTTTGCTGCTGTTTTTGTCTGTGTTGTTTCCCTCTATGCACACAGCACAAATGTTTAGATGTATGTTTATATTTTCTAGAATGGGACTTCTGCTCTCCATGCAGCAGTGCTGGGTGGCAATGTTAAAGCAGTAGCACTACTTTTGGAAGCAGGAGCAGATCCTTCTCTTAAGAACAAGGTACATTTTGGTGCTTTATCCAGAGCTTTTAAAACAAACCAGTGAAAACATTATACATTATTTCTTCCATGTAACTACTAAACTCATTTTGAACAGCCGTAGTTTACACTTTTGCTGGTCCCCTTTGCAATGATCCTGGACCCTCATCCAAATAAATCATTCTCCATGTCCACTCAGTCATTAGTTTCTCCATAACACATATTACAAGGATGCCAATTAGTGCCACTAAGCAAAGTGGCATGTGAAATGTGAACATGAACCTAAGAAGAATTGGATGGAGTCCGTGCACTTATTCAGTATATGTAGATTAAAGATAACTAAAGATTAAATTGTAACAGTATTCTGTCATACTAACTCTCATAAGTCAGCTAGAGGTGAAAAGCTCCAGTTATCATTACTGCTCCCCTGAGCTATCCAATCTCACTAAATCATAAACTCTGTATTAGTATGGAAGCTATATTTGAGAGAAACCATGACCAGTTAATATTCTGAACAATCATAAATTATGGATATTTATGCACAAAAGCTGGGCTGAGGCACAGGGTTTGGATCTGAATTCAAACTATGGAGCTGAAATTTTGGATTAGGCTTCTCTCTAATAGAAACAGCAAGTTAAAATCATGTCTTGTTATTTTCAACTTTATATGGAAAGGGTCCTTGAGAAGAATTAATTTCCTGGATCTCCCTCTATTAATTATATTTGAGAGCGAGAACAAGTCATTCAGATCCCATAATTTTATTACATGAATTCAGCACTTTTCATGTTTGCAGATTCCCTGCAAACAAACTTTTACTTGATTCCATTAAGAATTTAACATTATATATTGACTAACTCGTGCAAATATTTCTTCCTCTGAAGTTTATTGCAAGTAATTGTTGCAAGGCATCCTCGCTATAAGTCGCCCTGGTATATATCCGGTTCCACACTAAAGCCATTGACATTTGTAGTAACTGATGCTTGCTCTTATGTCACGCAAAAAAACCCTCAATTTGCACAAATGGAAGTCAACCGTGTGGAAAAAAAATTCCCAGTTATAAGTTGTTTCGCTATAAGTCCAAGTTTTTTGGAACGTATCTTGGACTTATAACAAGGACCAGAGCCGGATTAAGTGGGGGCTAGCCGGGCAGCTGCCCGGCGCACCAGCCTATGGGGGCGCCTGATGGCAGCTGTAAGGGAGCCGCGTGCCTGAGGTTGGGGGCCACACAGCGCTCCTTTGAGCTGCCATACGGCGCCGCACGCCCTGACTGGGGTCTGTGCAGCACCCCGTAGAGCTGCAATTAGGCACCGTGCACCTGATTGCAGCTGTAAGGTGCACAGCGCGCTGGGGGGTAGGGCTGCACATGCGCTGTGGCCTGAGGGCAGAGCCACGCATGCGTCACAGGCCCTCTGCCTGGGGCGCAGGAATGGCTCGAGCCGGCCCTGACGAGGGCAGCCTGTATCAGGTTGGGTTGGTTAGCTGTGATTGGATACAAGTCACATAGTATTGTTTGCTGATCTTTGACTGAATGACTGAAAGTTTCAGAATCAGGTTTCTGGTACAAATATTTATGTTTATGAATTCATCATCATTTATTTTCATAGTATTCTCTAATAGTTCCTTAAAATGTGCCATTTCTGTGAACATTCCTCCCAGTAAACTCATCTGCTGAAATACAGAAGAGAAAGGATGCAAATGGAGGTGGAACAAACTGATTTTAAATCAAGGGAATAGTTGCATACAATATTTCAATAGTCAGGCAGGTTTAATATTGGGAAATGTCATGATTTTGTCAAGCATTTTAAAAGGAATTATAATTATCTTGAATAAAGGATATAAAAAATACATATACCATTTCTATCACTCCACTAGATGGAAGCAGAGACCATCTCTTTAAAACAATAGTTTATATTTTATTACTAGTTCGTGCTTTATTTTGATAGTATTATCCAAACAGATGTAACAGATTTTGCAGTTACTAACAGTTTTTTGCAGTGGTTGGAGGCTGATAGAAGAAAGCTTAAGGAAATGAGTCTGTATTTCTTTTCTCTCCCCCTCTTTAGGAAGTACTTGGAAAACAACATGCCATTTAGTGTAGTTGGATGGATTTCCAAACCAAGAACATTATTCAGCAGAACTATCTCTATTATATTTAAAAGTTAAATTCTAGTCCTGTTATTTTTGTTTTCAGTGGACAAAAACTAAGATAAAAGTCTTTGATACTCTGGTCACTAAGAACCTAATACAAAGCCCATTTGCTGCTGATTTGGGGGATGGTTGTTTTCCCCCATACAAACAGTATAAATGTTTAGATGTTTGTTTACTTCTGTGGGCTTTGGCTGATGTCCTAACGATCTGACCCTGTTCCCATTGAATTCAATGGCAACATTCTCCTTTGCTTCTATGGGACCATCATAGGGACCTCGAAATCCCACCCTGCACAGAGCCTGTCAGCTGTTCACATTCCATGTAAACCTTTTGAAGTCTTGAATGGAGCTGACATGTTACATGATATAGGCCTTTTGATGACCCCTTTGCATGGGAGTAAATTTCACTTTTAAGGTCTCTCTGCACTGTTTTAAATTTGAAATAGTTTTAAAAACTGATCCACTAAATGATAAAGGAGCCCTAGAGTAGACCCGGCATAGGTAACCTGAATAGCTTGTGATGAAGTGGTCTCAAAACATATATATATCAAGATTATAGGACATGAACACAAGGAAGAAAGAAATTGTGATTACTCTTTCAAGAGTAGATTTGAATTGGTCCTAATAAGATCACGCAGCTGCAGAAGTGGGGCAGGGCAAAGAAGGTGAGTGTGGCCACATTAGGGGTACCCAGAGCACAGCATGTAGAGGTGGGGCTTAAACAGGAGCTGCATGCCAATACCACCACCATGAGAAAATGGGTAGGACCACAGCTCTACTGCATGCTATGTCCATGCATCTGTCCAGACCTTTGGGAGGAAAATAAGCTGTATCCAAAAAAGGGGTGAAATAATTTAACCCTCCTCAAAGAGCACAGAGAAGGAACTATGACTGAGTCATAGACACCGTTACATAGGGCTTAGCCTAAAAGTTCATCCTCACCTTTTGTAGCTAGAATGAAGCCTACATTTAAACATAAATGATTCTTTAGTGCACCGAACCTTTCCTCTAGGACTTCATTGTTTTGGAAATTCTGCCCTGCATTTTCTAACCATGCTGTTTCTTGTTTCAGGCAAATGAACTGCCAGCAGAGCTAACACAAAATGAACGCATCCTCCGGCTCCTCCGAGCAAAAGAAAAGCAGAGGAAAAGCTAACACAGTTCTGTCGGATGTAGTTTGACAAAGAGGAGCCCTTCCCACACTGGCACTAAAGCAAATCTGGTTTTGAAAATGGCTTATTGAACCTATTTGCAGAATTGATTTAGCATGTCCAAGATACCACTGTGTGAACATGGCCAGCCTTCAGCACAAGGCAGAGGTGCACTAGAGCACCATTAAACTCAGTAGGAGTTTCGCCATGGGCTTCAGTAAGATAAGGCCCTAAAGGCTTGTTTGTACCACAGTTCTGTCCATACTTGAAAATCACTGTTTCCAGCATTGGTATGAGCTCCTAAAATGTTTGTAGTACACCTCATAGTCACAAACAAGTGCTCTAGCCATTGCACAGGCATTCCGCCTCTTGTTATGATTGCACCAGCTGAGAGCAAGTCCTAATACCTCTATGCACCTGTGAACCATTCAGTCCTGATGTGGGTGGGAAACTCAGATGCACTGGTCAGTTAATATCCCTAGCATAGTCCCACAAGGCTTCAACCCACCCTTCAGTGATGGCATTGGCAGTTTGGAGACCTGGCAGTGTCCACCTTCCTGTTCCAAACAGGCCTGAGAGAAAGTTGTGGGGTGCTCGCATTTGGGTGGCTACTCAGGAGAGATTCAGGTGCCTCCCAGCTGATTACAGTGCCCACAGTCAGCAGCATATGTTTGAGTTGGTGGTGCACATCCACACATGTCTCAGTGCACATAAAATTTATTCCACACTGATGGAAAAAATAGAGGGAATATTGGGTGCTCATCTGGTCTCAGTTGTGTTCCATAGCATCGTCCCTGTTCGCAGCCACCTGTGGGCGGGAATGTAGAATACAAAATAACCTATTGAAATAAAAATGTTATTTAGAACAAGGAAAAATTTAATTGACCAGTAGGAAAACAATTCACAATACAATGGGAAAGTTAGTGAGTGCAGACCCCACAGCATCCCACACTAGAATCTTCAGTTACATATGTATTGGACTACCTTACTCTGGAGTTGGCATGGAGCTGAGGTAACTGTTTCATCTGTATCTCATACTTGCTTCAGACCTGAGAAGGAGACTTAAATGAAAACATATCCAAGGCTATCCCTCCCTCTTCTCAAGTAAATCCTAGTTCTCTTCATTACAAGCAAGGGGATGTAAGTAACTTCTGGTTCTCCCCACTATCCTTGAAATCAGAACATCTGCTAGAGGGGCGACTATCTGAGCTGGGGAAGGAGGACTGGAGAAACTGGCTTTATTTCAGTGCGTACCTCAGAGGGAAGTCCTCTCTCTAGCCACTGGCCTTGACTGCTCTGTTTGGATTGTAGAGGGAGACACAATAGTAAAACAATCTGTTATTTAAGCAACAACTCCTTAAAATGGTCCAAAACTTCACAACTCACCCAAAAAGCTATCAAGCAAATGAGAGCAAACTCATTTCCTTCTCAGAGTAAACTCTGACCTATGTAGTACCACAGTTCATCCAACAGTGAGTATGGGGGTAGCCGGTGGCCTTCTGCAGTGTAGTTCTGTGAGAGCAGAAGCCCTTTCCCTCCTCATGCATGCTCAACTCCACGGATAGAGCAGAACCATAGGGAACTGTCACTGAGCAAACCAAATGTTGCATGTTGTTAACATATATTTAGCTGTGAAGCATGCCTGGATGAGTGTTATAAATGTACAGTATATACTGTGCACAGTATATGACACTGTTTAGTGTTCACCAGCTACTATGCAATGCAGCTGCTCCAGGGATCAGTGCCTGAAATTATAGGAGAGTGCCATATAAGCAGGTATGTCAGAAGGCCAAATGTAATGTGGGCACATTACGCCAGTTTATACAATATAGGCCTGCTAGTGTATCCATAACAAATGGCTGCCTTAATTAATAGTTCTAGAATACTCAAATGCTATGATTCAGTTCTAGAATGCTCAGCTTGCTATGATTCAGACCTCTAGTATAACTGGGACTGATGCTAGTAATTGTGTCAAGGACTCTGATACATCATGATCAGGTTAAGGGTTCTGTAAAGTAGATAGGACCATGACATATTTTAACCATGATCCTGTACCATGCTACATCATTATAAGGTAGTTATTGCAGTCAGTATACATATGCCCCAAGTCATGCTAGTCAAAACCATGTTACAGATTTTCCTTGAGGAAGTTCAGACCAATACTAAGTCAGTCCATGAACAAAATACATTTGACCCACCTCCAGATCATGGCAAGTTGCTTCAAAGTGTTAGTGTGGACAGGACTTTGGCTCCCAAGAAAACATGAACTTCTACCCCGTTAAAAGGCTGCAAGTGTGACGTTTAGTTGAATCTCTGCATTCTTCTGTTAGCTAATAAAAAAAGAGTCACTTTACTATTGCTTGAGGGAGTATAGTTCACTTTAGTACAAACTGTTTTCTTCAACATATGGATCATAGCCATAATTATTCAAAAACCAGGAACCTGGTACTTAGTGCAAATTATTCTTTTTCTTGGGGGCAAGAGCGGTAGGGGAGAATCAAGGTCCTCCTGCTTAACAGAAGAAGTGATGAATGTACTTTTGCTTGCAAGTTACTGTTGCTATATATGGTAGTAGAAGAGAAAGCTGAATGCTTTCCTGTTAAGAGTATGAGATGGTACCAGAACAATCTGCTGGATTGGTTATTTAACACTGTGCTTTCCTTGAATTAAAGCAATACTTCTGCCTAACTGAATCTTGTAGACAAGCTAGTATGGGATTAAAGAATTATATGCATAGATACCTAAAGCATTGCTGTCTCCATGACACTGAGCATCTGCTCCTGCAAGAAGCTGAGAAGTATTAAGCACCCTCAAACCCCATCGACTCTAATAGGGACTCTAGTGGTGTGGCACTTCACAGAACTGGACTTCAACTTTGTTACATGCAAAAGTGAGACTTGTGTACATTAATAGCCCAGTGTGGATCTGTGGGCTTGTTTTCTACATTTGTTGTTTTGGAGGAAGTTAATTGATTCAAGGCAGTCCTGCCCCCTCAGGAGTAAATCCAATCCCCTCCCACCACTACAAGGAAGGATCTCCCTGGAGTTTCTTCAGAGCAGCAGCGGATGGAAACAACTAGAGTGAACCAAAGTCATACAAAAAGAAGCTAATTGTGAGACAGGCAGACAATCATGTAAAACTCTGAACAGCCAGCTTCAGTGGGTGAGCCAAGGACAAACATATTAGTCATACAGTACTGGGCAAGCCACACATCCAAAGGGAGGAATATTTAGTGTCTCTGACTCCAGAAGAGAAAGGATTTGGGCACTGACAGGCCTTTTTTTCACCCTCTCCTGATGTCAGATTGAAGTAAAGAGGATAGAGTAGCCAGCAGTGGCCCTGCTTGCAGCTGGAATAAAGGAACTGAAACATCAAAAAGTACAGGTGATCTATTTGTGCCGGTTGCTCCTCAGTCCTGGGAGGTGGTGGCACATTTTCTCAGTGAGTGCTTGTCTCCAAATCCTGCCTAAGATGGGCAGAAATCCAGGAGGGGTCGGTTCCTGACCTTTCCATGTGTGTCTGCTCCCTGCATTACTGCATGACTTTTCTGATTCTTGAGTCTGTTCCCACTTTCCTTCACAGCTGTCTAATAGCTGTTGAAGAATGTCTGGGATTCTTGCTGCTATGGGCCTCTTTTAGAGATGTCAACAGCAAAGAGTGCACATTATCCTGGAGAGGAGAGAGCACTACTAGTTTCCTTGATCCCTCTCCCCTTTTAAAATAGAGCCATATTGGGCTTTGTTTAAAAAAAGGAGAGAGAGAGAATCAGGGGGAAAGTGCCTATAGCCAGATTGGGGTTGAAAAACAGGAAAAATTCTGAGTATTTATTTGAGCTCCATGCTTCTAAAGGAGGCTGTTTCAATCTCAATTATCTATTAGTAAAACAATCAAAGATCCACAGCCCAAGTGCAGATAGGAAATGGTGCTTGGAAATTGCAGCACCATATCTTCCCATGCAATGAAATATCCCTCCTCACAGAGTTATAATAGTTCTGTACACTGGGATCATGCCTTTCCTCTTCACAGTGCAGCACACACTTTAAATAATGGAATTTTTTTATTATTCGTAAGCAGAGACCTGCTTTCTTTTCTCTTTGTTATTGGAATGAGTCAGCATTTATATTAATCACAATACTTTGTGCTACTTTGCATTTTCCCCAGGATCCTAAAACACTTTATTGACATCACAGGCAGACCCCGACTTACAAACGGGTTACGTTCCAAACACCTAGTCATAACTCGATTTGGTCTTAAGTCGGAAATACCCTTAAACGCGCTGCCCACGCTGTTCGAAAAACTTGATGTACATGGTTCTCAACTCAAAAATATTATAATGGGTTAATGGGAAGTTGGTCGTAAGTGCGGATGGTCATAAGTTGGTGTGTTCATAAATCGGGGAGTGGCTATATTAGCTTCAGAACGTCTCTGTGAAATATGCAGGCAGATATATACGAATCACTTCATCCACCACTGAATTGCATTCCTTTCTGGGAGATAAATGGAACTGCACCTTCTGATAGCACCTCCACATTTGGTCCAGAGGAGGTGTTATAATTTTAATTCTTTTCTGAATTCTATTGTTCTCTTTGATCTTTGGGGCTGTGCATTTTATAAAACGTATGCACATTTATATTGTTCAATGAAATATAACTAGTCTACAGTCGGTATATTGCTTTGTCAGAACACACTTTTCCATGCCATTGTTCAAATTAAAATTGACAACACTACTCAGCTTCCCTTTACTGTTGTAGTTCAGACATTATTTACTCTCCTTCTGTGTGTATTTGTTTCATGTAATGGCAGGGTAGAGTTTGAATATGAATAAGCTTAAACTGTTATAGAATATACAGCAGACTTCCAATAATCCAGCACCTTTGGGACCCAGTGGGTGCCGGATTATTGGATATGCTGGAGTATCAGGAGGTACTCCGGCAGGAGGGCTGTGAGGTGTCTGGGGCGGGGAGGCTGGGCAGGGAACAGCGCGCCGTGGGGCGAACCGGGTGCTGGTGAGGTACAGCGCTGCAAGACCAACCCCAGCTGTTCTGCCCCATGGCTTCCCCAAGTCCGCCGCTGCTGAAACTGACCAGCGGCGGACTTGGGGAAGGGTGGGCAGAGCAGCTGGGGTGCTGCCAGGCGCCGAGCAGGGGGGTGAGGGGCGGCACTGCAGGACCAACCCGGCAGCACCCCAGCTTCTCTGCTCTGCACCCTTCCCCAGGTCCGCAGGTGGTCAGTTTCAGCAGTGGTAGCAGCGGACTTGAGGAAGCGGTGCAGAGCAGCTCCAATTGTCCAGCTGGCCAGAGCACTTCTGGGTTCCAGTTGGTGCCAGACTATTGGAAGTGCTGGACCACTGGATGCCGGACAATTGGAGTTTTACTGTAGTAAGTTTTTTTCTGGTCCTGTTTTTCTTACCACCATTCTGTTCCAGCTAGTTCATTGTACTTCAGTGTTTTTCAAGCCTATGGAGATGACTTAGGCACCCCACAAAACAAGTAAAAGTAATGTTCCCACCCTGAAGAGCATCTAGATTAAATTTTGCATGACAAATGAAAGGCCTGATCTAAAGATCATTGAAAAACTCCTATTGACTTCAATGTATTTTGGATTGAGTCCCAATGTATTTTGAATTGGGTCCCAAAACAGGGAGAGGTAACATAGGAAGGAAAAATAAATGTGAACAAGATCACTCTGTTGCTGCTCAGTAAGTCATATACACCTTTTGGAGGAGTTGGTCCTTTAAAAAAAAAACCCTATAGACTGATTCCACACCCATTTCAGTTCAAAGAAATGCCTACCAATGATTGCTATGCATACTGTTGTATTCAGTGGATTTTGACCTTTATAAAAGACAGTCTACATTGCCTTTGTGCGCAGTGCCTTAGGCATTTTTTCCGATTACAACAGTTGTCTATTGCAAGGAATTGTGTTTTCTAGAGATTGCCTACATCCTTATCAAATATTTCTACAAGAGTACTGCAATAAAAAAGACTTAAGGAGCTCAAGCAGCTATTTAGTTTTTCCCAGAAAAAGTTAAGAGCCGACTCAATCATGGTTTATAAGCACCTACATAAGGAGAAGATTTTTGATAACAGAGGGATAGTTAGTCTAGCTGACAAAGGCATACAATAAATCCAAGGGCTGGAAACCAAAGATAGACAAATTCAGACTAGAAATGAGCTGTAATTAACCACTGGAATATTTTCCTAGGAAAGTGGTAGATTCTTTATTGCTTTAAGTCTTTAAATTAAGACTGTATTTCTTTCTAAGAGGTATGCTCTATCTTAACTAGAAATGATGGGTGTGATGCAGAAATCACTTGGGGTGTGTCTAGACTACATGCCTCCTTCGACGGAGGCATGTAGATTAGCCAGATCGGGGCAGCCATTTAAATTTAAATGAAGCCGCGATTAAAATAATCGCGGCTTCATTTAAATTTAAATGGCTGCCCCGATCTGCCGACCAACAGCTGATCGGCAGATCGGGGCAGCCATTTAAATTTAAATGAAGCCGCGATTAAAATAATCGCGGCTTCATTTAAATTTAAATGGCTGCCCCGATCTGCCGACCAACAGCTGATCGGCAGATCGGGGCAGCCATTTAAATTTAAATGAAGCCGCGATTAAAATAATCGCGGCTTCATTTAAATTTAAATGGCTGCCCCGATCTGGCTAATCTACATGCCTCCGTCGAAGGAGGCATGTAGTCTAGACACACCCTTGGTGACATTCTATGGCTTGCATCATGCAGGAGGTGAAAGTAGAAGATCACAGTGGTCTCTTCTGGCCTTAAAATCTATTAATCCATGGGTGCCACGTTTGTATAATTTTTGGCGGTGCCCAGAAGAAGTCCAAGCAGAGCCATTCAATCCATAGGACAGACCAGGGCAACTACTTTGGGGGACCCTGCACTTCAGGAGATGTGGGGTGCAGGGAAATCTGGAGGGCTGCTGGGGGGCCTGGTACCCACAGCAGTGGGCAATCCAGCCCTTCCTACTAACTCTCAGCATTGCTTGGGGGCAGGGATGAAAGCTGAGAAGAGGTAGGACAAAGGCTTGGGGGAAGGGGTGGAATGGGGGCAGGGCAGTGGTGGAGCAGAAAAGGTGGAGTGGCTACAAAGGCTTTTAGGGAGAGGGTGATTTGGAGGTGGGGTGAAGTGGGCTGGGGTTGGGTCACTTGCTGCTGCTGGCGCTAGGCCCCCATTAACCTCCTAGGCTGCCCTGGATCCCAATGCCCCTGAAGTGTGAGGCCCCCCAAAGCACAGATATGGATGGGATGGCTCTAAAAATATCACACCAAACTTTGGTGGAGCTGGGCTCATGTTCCGGAATATTGGTGGGACACAGACACCACGGGCCCATATAAACTTACCTTCTATGATTGAATCAGTAGCTGTTTCTGATTCGCTAATCTAAAGAATTAAAGAAATCATCTCCCCCATAAAATTGGTATAAAACCCATGAGTCCAGTCATAGGCTACGTCTAGACTGCAAGCCTCTTTCGAAAGAGGCTTTTTCAAAAGATACTTTCGAAAAAAGCCTCTTTTGAAAAAGAGCGTCTAGACTGCAACCAGTACTTTCGAAAAAGCAAGCCGCTTTTTCGAAAGAGAGCACCCAGACAGTCTGGATGCTCTCTTTCGAAAAAGCACAGTTTGCATTACATAGCGCCTTTTTTTGAAAGAGCACTTTCGAAAAAAGGCGTTATTCCTCGTGAAATGAGTACCACTGTCGAAAGAAAAGCTGCGTTCTTTCGATTTAATTTCGAAAGAACGTGGCTGTAGCCTAGATTCAGGTGAAGTTTTTTCGAAAAAAGGCTACTTTTTTTGAAAAAACCCTGCAGTCTAGACACAGCCACAATGTGAAAACACTTGATCAGGGAAAAGCAGACAGAGCATTGTCAAAGTACATCCTTTTCCTCATGTCGGGAGTTGGGAGCAAACTGAAAGGATTCATGGAGCTGTTAGCTAGTCACAGTTAAAGGTGCGGTTTGAATTTCCTCACATTTTCATGCTTCTGAACTGTGTCAGATTGACAGCACTGCAGACTGAAATTCTTTATCCACAGAATGTGTACAGTATGGGCAGCAGAAGAGTAGAGATTCCTCAAACTCTGATGAAGCTGTGAAAAATTATACTACTACTTCCACTACATTGCTTTCTTATAATGCTTTCCTTCTGAGAATCCCCCAAAGCTTTACAGACTTTAGGAATGACATCACTGAGAAAATAAAGGAAACTAGCCTCATTTTACAGATGGTGAAATTGTAGCAGAGAGGCTGTGACTTGCCTGCATTACACACAGCGAGTCTGTAGTAGAATTGGAAGAGAACCTTTATCTTTTGATTCAAAGATCCACGCTTTAGTCACTACTAGAAAGTGGTTCCCACCCATGATTTACTACAGTTGAACAAGTTCCAGTGACTGCAGTGACAGATACAGAGAAGACACATTTACAAATTGCAACAGGGCCTGCAATCATTTGATGAGTAAATAAGGGTACTACATAGATGGGTGAAACAAACACAGAAGTGTGCAGAGTGTGATATGGTTATCAAAGACACAATGCAGTATTCGATGCACCAGCACTGGGCAAAACATGTATACATTTCTGCATAGGCTGCGGCAAATTAAGGAAATGAAAACATTTCAATGCCTAAATGCACTGGGACACATCAGCCGAGGTATTTAGGTGCCTTTGTAGATTTGGTCCATTATATCTTCTTATATAAACAGATGATTGCCAGCAGCAGAGGCTCTATCAGGTATCCTATCAAATTCATGGCCATGAAATAAATGCCATAGACTATGAAATCTGGTTTCCTCCCAAGAAATTGGCCTTTTCGGTTCTTTTACCCTATACTATACAGATTTCATGGTAGAGACAGGTGTTTCTTAAATTGGAGGTCCTACCCAAAAAGGAGTTGCAGGGGAGTCACAAGGTTATTTTAGGAGGGTTTCAGTATTGCCACTCTTACTTCTGTGTTGCCATCAGAGCTGGGTGGCTGGTAAGTGGTAGCTATTGGCCAGGCACCCAGCTCTAAAGTCAGTGCCCTGCCAGCAGCTGCCCAGAAGTAAGAGTGGCCATACCATGCCATGCTGCCCTTCCTTCTGCGCTGCTGCCTTCACAGTTGGGTGACCCAAGAATGGCAGTTGATGATTGAGGGCCCAGCTCTGCAGGCAGCATACAGAACTAAAGGTGGCAACACTATATCAAGCCATTCTTCTAAGCTGCTGCTAGCAACGGCTTTGTCTTCGGAGCTAGGCTCTCATCCAGCACCTACAGCTCTCTGGATGCTTAGCTCTGAAGGCAGTGCTGTCGCCCGAATCAACAGCATAAAAGTAAGGGTAGCAGTATTGCAACCCCTCCCGTACAGTAATTTTGTGACTCCCACCACAACTCCTTTTTGGGTCAATATCTCCTCAATTACAACACCATGAAATTTCATTTTAAATAGCTGAAATAATTAAATATCCTATTTAAAAAATCTTATGACCATGAAATTAATCAAAATGGACCATGAATTTTGTAGGACCTTGTCTATATGGCTTGTTGCTTCCAGCTAGAAACTCAGAAGCTAACATGTGGCCATAGTATTAATTATACTGAAAGAGTAACAAAAGGTGTAACTCTTCCAATACAGACAAAGAAGGTTAACTCAGAAAAGGTTCACAAGGAACGTGTACAGGACCAACTTGGAAACACCAATTTTCTCAGTCCTGGCATCATTATTCTGATTTAACCTGAAGATCA